CTGGATCTGACTCTCTGGCCTGTCACCAGCCTGCAGGAGTAGTAAAGCTTCTGTCTGTTAAGGGTCGACGCTAACCATGAGGGGCACACCTCAGGAAGGAGACAGAGTCTGTAGAAAAGGGCGCCCAACCCAGTCTCACTTCAGCATGGATGTACCCGGGGTTCCCATCCAAATTTCTGATGGCTTTTCTCTTTCCATCAGGACTAGGGGATCTGTGGGCTGTCCAGCACCCCACATCAGGTGGCTCATGGGGAATCCTGCAGGAGTCTGGGAGACGATGCACACAGCTCACAGGTATGATCTGTGCTCTCTTTAAACCTTCCTGAGAAGATTCCAGGGACCCACAATGAGCCTTACTGCAGTGTACGCTGAGAAGCCCTGGCCATTTTGATCATGGAGCCACTTTATTTTAACTTGGAGTTTCGGAGTTGGGTGCCATTTGTTTTTGGTAGGCGTCACCCCCTCCTGCGCTGCCCTCCTACATTGTGCCCTGTGCTGTTCCATCACGTGCCCACCAGTCCCGTCCAGGGCGTTAGCCGCTGTCACCTGCTTCCGAAGTAAGGCCAGCAAAGCAATGCAAAAGAGTGGAAACTCGGGTGGGCGGGCAGTCGAGAGATGACCAGGGGTCACTGAGTGTGGGTCAGTGCCCATGTTACCTGTGGACACATGCGTATGAGGTAGCAGCTTCCAACAGAAGTGGGCTTCCAGGGAAAGAGAGGGAGGTAAGGAAAGGCTGAACTCCTAACGAAGGGTTCAGGACTCTCTAATTTTGTGTTGCAGAGTTGATCCCAAGAGGACCAAACAGGGCTCCAAAATACAAAACAGAATCATGAATGATATGTATCCAAGCTAATTTCCTCTCTTCTTTCTTTAGGTATACTGGAGAAAAATGGGAAACAGATTAAGAAGCTCACACGTTTTGGTTCATCTGATCTTCTGTCCAACAAGACGGGTTGGTGTGCCAACTGGAGAGGTCTCAGCAGCATTCTCCCTGGGGATGCTCTCCTTGGGTGGCTTTCTACTTGGGACATTCTCTTTATGGATGTTTTCCTTGGGAGACATTCTCCTTGGGTGACAGAATCTTGGGTGATCTCTCCCCGTCTTGGCAGCCACACCCAGGTCCTGGATTGTCAGCCACTTGAGACACGAGGTGCCACATCGACAGTGTCTAGCATGGCATTCAGCATTGAGTAGGGTCTTAAATGTCATTGACTAGAAGGTTCTGTGGGGACAGCTGTAGGGCCTCTGAGATGCTGAAGGCACCAGGCATAACTGTGCTGATCCCTGGGGAAGACGTATTGACCGTCGCTCTGGGCACGCACTGGTCACCCTTCAGTGTGCTCTGCTGCTCAGTCAGGCTGGGAGGGCAGTGCATCTGATTAGGGCGGTGTGGTGCTTTCCTAGGTCCTTGAGCCATGACCAGAGATGGGCAGCAGCAGCAGCTATGTCCCTCCATTGCCCATCCAGTCCTCAGGGTGTCCGTGTTTTCCTCCGAGAGCTGAGCAGAGTTGAGTGAGTAGCCAGGTTGGTATCCACTGCTGGCTCAGTGTTCAGTTCGTTCTCAAGGAGAACCAGTGCAGCTTCCAGGCAGAGACATTCTGGTGTCAGAGTCGGAGGCAGAGATGCCATTTGGAAATGCCAGCTTTCCATTTTGGGAGACTCACTCTGGGGGACTATCCACCTGTTCCCCACTTCCACGGCCCCTGGCTGTGTAGTTCAGTGTCCCTTGCTCACTACATAATGAATAGTGATAACATAGAGTCTCCAAGTCCCAGTTGTCCATTTTCAAGCTGGACAGAGCACCCACACTGTCTGGAGAGCAGCTAGAACTTGTGAACAAGGAGCCAGTGGCATCCTGGTGGGACGTCCCCACCCCCACCAACAGAATGCCACCAGAGTCTGCTTTGCAGGGGACAGAAAAAAAAGGAGCCTCAGTGTCTTGGCTGAATTGCAAGACTTTATGTTGGAAAAGCAAGTGGGAATCCAGCCCCATTTGCGGCATGGTCAGTGATTGTCCATGGCTGGTACGTGGGCTGTCAGGAGGATGAGCAGGAGGGGTCGTCTCCTGCACTGCACATCTGCCCTGCTGCCCCAGCTTGTGGAGGCAGCATCCCGGGAGATGGAGGCCACCAATCCCTCCTTCTCACCTACACCTCAGGGCGTGCAGTTCTCCTCGGCTTCCAAGGGGATAGCAGCAGCCATCAGGGAGCCCCTTGGACACTGACCGGTGAACATTGCTTGCTCTCGGTGGCTCCACCCCAGGTGACAGTGGGTTTTCCTGTCGATGTGTCCTCAGTGGCCACGCCCCTCTGACATCTGGGACCCTTGCTCACCACGCGTGCACACTAGCACGGAACGTCTCTGCCTGGAAGCTGCACCAGGGAGTGTCTCTGAGCACTGGTTGCTCTGATGGGTGCAGGTTAGCTCTAGGGCTGGGGTGCACTTCCCCAGCCGGGTAAGAACTGACGCACAGGACTGTGCTGTGGATAAATCCACACCAGTGGAGAGGGTTTTTGAACCAGGAATTGACGAATTGTTGGGCACACAGAAGGCACAGAAGTGTCCAGAACACAGCTGACCAAAGGCTCCCGAAACACAGTCAAGGCTCATGCTGAGAGTTGGAAAATCTCATGGAATATGAAATGTTTCCCTAAAAAGTCACCCAGAATTTCGAGTGGTTCGAACAGAAATGGTTCAAAACTGCATTTCCCCATGCCTAATGGATGCTGGAAGGTATAACGTGTAATTTATTAGTTATAATGTCCCCTCTACCGAAAGCAAAATGAGAATGAGGAAATGAAAATGGTGAAGCACTGTGGGGACACAGGGGCAGCCTCGGCTCCTGCTGCCTTCCCACGGGGCTCAGGAAACACAGGGTGCTCTCTGTCTTCACCTCAGTCCCACCATAGAGAAGAGGCGGCAGATGCAAACCCCACCAGGAATCCCCCTAAGTGGAATTTGCAGAAGGGGAGGCTGAGCGATGGCCCTCTCCACTCAGCACAGAAGCCTCAAAGACGCGTTTTTGTGTGTCCTCCTACGTGAGCAGGTGGAACACAGGTCACAGGACAGAACACCCCACGTGCAGTACTTATGGGCCTGGGTCTCCTTTGGCAGTGATCACAGTGCTTGGAACTAGACATTGGGGAGGGCCACCCAGCACTGTGAACAGCACCTTCTAAATTGGACCATGTCTTATAAACTGTACCTCAAGAACAACGTAAGCACAGGAGCTAGGTGTATCCGGCATTGTGCTGGACTCCACCCAGTTCCCTGGAGTTCCAAGCAGGGGTCCCGGCTCCCTGAGGCTGCCTTCCTGTGTGGCTGCTTGTGTGAGATTTCATGAGGCTCCAGACTGGGGTGGCTTTGAGAGACCACCGCCAGTCTGGGAGCTCTGTTTAAATATTAAGCTGAACTCCTTCCACATTCTTTTTCCAAAGTGTGAAGAAGCCAGTGGGTTGGTGCAGCCTGTCTGGGTTTTAAATCACCTTCCCTGCTCAGGCAAAGCGGTAGGTCCTCGTTGGACTCCCAACTCGAGCCACCTGCTGCAGAGTGGGCTGATATCTGATGGCCGCCGCGTCAGCTCTGCATTCTGCTTGCCAGGAGGGTGGCACAGAGGCAGACGCGGGAATGGCACAACCCTGGGGGGTCCCCCGATGCCTGTGAAAGATATTTTTAAGGAAGGCTCTTTCCAATTCTCTTAAAAGGAGGATATATCTTTCATCTCTACAAGCAAAGGGTGAAGCTGAATTTTCCTGAAGTTAAATGGAGATTCAAAGTGCTCTTTGAATTACAGATCTAATGCTCTGTTTTAAAATACACAGGGAAGCTTTGCTTTTGTTTTTCATGTTTAAAAGATGAGTGTGGCTGGAGCGCTAGGATGTGCACCGAGTGTAGCTATGAAGAGACAGCTCTGCCGCGGTTCCTACCACCTAGGGCTGCCCTGCAGCTACCCCCTTTCATTTCAGAGAAGAAAGCAGAGGATTCATTAAGATAGTGTCAACTGTGGCATTTAAAGCTAGAAAACAGTATTCATACAATAGCATAAGAAACTGCCTAAAAAGTCGAACAGCTGTGTAAGATGATCACAGAGGACACAGTGATCTGGGATCATTCTACTGGGTATAAAATTACTGACAGGTTAAGGAGCGTGCCAGTCCTCACACCAGCACGTTAGGGCAGGGTACAATTCTGTGGCTTCACTTGGCCTTTGAGTCCAAGCCAAACACTACACTGTAGGCTAGTGCCAGAACTCGGACGGAGCCAGATGGCCAACTTTTACACAAAACTAGCAATTGTGGAGGACTGGTCTCCATGTCCAGTGAACTGGCTGAATACGGCTTTCTTGGGAGCCCAGGGGGTAAGTGGGGTACTTGGGAAAGCAGGGGTGATTGGAAGCCTCTGCCTCTGCCTGTCCCGTCACTTTACCACCAGGAAAGGCATCCCGCAGGAGGGACTGAGAGATGGCCTTCTGCAACCAGCTACGAGGTGACTATGGTTTTGGTCAAGTCTTGACAGCATTGGAATCTCCCCATATCTCCATAGCAACATGCCCTGCCCTCAGTGAGGGAGACGTCTCCACGAAAGAAAGGAAGCCAACTCTGAAGGATTAGGAGTGGGTACAGCTACACACACCAACACCTAGCCCAGAACATTCTTGGAAACTCCCGGTTTAGCCCAGTGTCTGGCTGTCTTTAAATAAATGAATCGAAAATCATTAATTAAAACTTAACAACATTGAGGCCTTCATAAATGCATTCGTGAGTCTAGAAGCATAGAGACCAGCGCGCCAAGTGCCTACGGCAGAAGTGCTGGGTGCAGGAATGAGGAAAAGAGCCAGGGAAGGGCGCCTGCTAGAAGGGGAGGACCTTGGGCATTTGTGACTTGCTCTCCAGCCATGCCGCAGGACAGACTGCTGTCTTCAGAAATGCCTTCCCACACCCACTTTATTCAGCCCGCCACGCCCTCGGGACAAAGGCCCCCTTCCCAGAGGCTCTTCCTACCTCGGCAGGTGGGCAGGGGGCTACTCCACTGGCCGTTGCTCCGACACTGGGCCCGGGACGCACCCTGAAGCAAGTAGCCCGTGTGGCAGGTGAAATTCACCAGGTCATTCAGGTTGAACTCGCTGCCGTTGGTGAGCCCGTGGGCGGGGTTCCCCGGGTGTCCACAGGTGATGGCTGCAGGAAGACAGGTTACGTCACTCTCCCTGCTCAGCAGGCACGGCCAACACCTGGCACTGACAGCACAGGTGAGCGGAGGACATGACGGCCAGGGTCTCCCACTGCCGCTGCACAGGTGAGTGTGCTGCCGGGGGCTGTGGGAGAGCAGCCACAGGCCTGAAGACAGGCAGGTTTTACCACATCCTTGGAAACCAAGCCACACCTGCCACTTATAATTTCATTATTCCTTAGTCGGATCGTGACAGAATAGCAGTGATTTAAAAACAAGAGATGTCAAGAATGTTTGCAATGATCCTGCATTTTGAATATTGTCCCCTACGCCACACCAGTTTGAAATATCATGGGGTTTGCTTGAAACTTTGAGTGTTCTATGTGAAATGTTTCCAGTACCAATTTAAATATCATGAAATCGGCAAAATAACTGCACACTCCAATATGGCTCTGAGTGCCTAGCATGGGGGTCCTTGGAGATGCAGTGAGCTGTCCCTATGCAGTGTCCTACATCACAGCCACGTAAGCAAGGGGATGTCTGGACCTCTCAAAAGAAAGGCCACAAACCTGGTGTCTTCCTCCTGCTTGTCTCATCAACATCTTTCCTTCTAAGTAAAGCTTTTATCTCTGAGCTTTGCACAGCGCCCCAGCACTGTCACAGGTGATACCTGTCACTGCAGTGTGGTTACATCAACATCCTGTTTGCTTAATTCACAGAAAAACAAAGAATATCTCAGAAGATCATTTGGTCTAAAGGGAATTTTGCAGCAAAATTCTTATCTAAAAACAGCAGTCAATATTTGTCGTTGAAGGTCTAGAGTTGGAGGACGGTTATCACACTACACCCCGCCTCTTGCTATCAAAGGACGGCTTACTACACTCTGGATTCGTGGTGAATCCGTGGCCAATGCAGACAACACAGAAGTATAGAGTGTGGCCCCTTGAGGGCCCTGTGGGGCTGACCTGCGCCCAGACAGGAGGGCACACTCCTCCATGGAGGGGGCTTCCACCTCCGCTCTGTGCTGAGCTCTGGGGAGCAGACACGGGACACCTTGTCCCTGGACCCATTGAAAATGAGCAGAGGGGTGAGTAGGAGAGGAAGCCCCAGGGGGCAGGTCGGAGCTGTACTCACGGACACAAACGGGGGTCTGCCCCGACCACTTGTGGTCCTGCAGGCATATCCGAACAGAAGTGCCCACCAGCCGGAAGCCAGGCTTGCACTGGTACACCACCGTGTCCCTGTAGCTGGAGCCGTCCCCACTGATGTGGCCGTTCACGATCGGGTCTGGGGAGCCACAGTGGCCAGCTGAAAAACAGAAGCATCCCGCAGGATGGACTGAGAGATGGCCTTCTGCAATGAGCTACGAGGGGACTATGGTTTTGGTCAAGTCTTGACAGCATTGGAATCTCTCCATACCTATGATGTTTTATACCGTTTTTCTTTTCCTAATAATTATGCATAAATTAAGTTCTGTTTCTAATATGAAATTATTTATGATTATCTCCCGAGTTATGGTTTCCCCACTGATCTATTCTACTATGTCATTTTAGATCAGTTATGTGTTCTATTTCCAAATACATGCCCCAGAGAGGAGGAAACACTGTGATCAACACGAGCAGGGCTTGCAGACTGTTGGGCAGAAAAGAGAAGATGAGGAATTTCAGCAGGAGACAGGGTTGGGAATTGCAGAGGGAGAGAGACCAGAAGGTAGGTGCCTGGACCTGAGCCACAGGTGAGCCAGGGAGAGGGGAAGGTGGCTGAGACCCACAGAAACAGGCGTCCATGGCGGGGCAGGAGTGGAGGGCGGCCACAGGTGCACTGAACTGGCCTGGACCTAGGAGACTCTAGAGGATGGCTGGCAGGTGCCCAAGGGGGCGGGGGGGCCTGAGCCACCCATGTCAAGTGTGTCCCAAGAAAGGAAAGTCTGGCGAGGCCAGGAGGACCACCAGTGCCTGCCAGGTCTCCCCTCCCCACAGCAGGGACAGAAGAGGGACACCCAGTGTGGCCAGGGAGGCTCTGGAGGGCGGGGCTCCTTCTCCCCGCCGGTGGACACTCAGCGTCCCTGCCGGCTGGCCCCGGGCTGCTTCTACCCCAGCTCTCTCTTCCCTGCCCCTCTCCGCCCTCCAACTTGCCTGTGTGTTTTCTGTCTTTCACACACATATGGAAAGAGCACCTTATCAATCACCAAACAGGAAGGATTAAAACTCACCAACGTTAACAGGGTCTGAGTCGCACGCGGGTTTGGATTGCCACCAACAAGAAAAATGGCGCCCCACCTTCTCTACCCAAAGAGTGAGCCTGTGCCGGGGAGGCACAGATCAAGCGGAGGCAGTGCGCAGGGTGGGCCCTGGCCACTGCCCTCTGCACGGAGCATGGAGCCAGGGGTGCTCTGAAGTCGGAGGACAGCCAGCACTGAAGGGTGGCAAGCTGTCACACCCGGATGGGGCTCATTTCATCACTATGGAAACATCTAAATCATACTCTCTATTTCTGCTTAAGCCAGCGTCAGAGACCTGAGTTCTCCTGGTCCTGGAATCAAACCTATTATCAGCAAGGTGGCATGATGAGTGAGGTCACGTGTGCTCAAGGACCAGGAGGATTGCCCTAGGGTGCAGACATGGGCTGCAAAGACCTGTGCCCACCCCAGGCACTCTGCTTGTCCAGCGCTGGCCCAGCATGCAGCCCCAGCCAGGAGGACCAGTGTGTTCCCGTGTACCCAGGGTTCCAGCCACTTCTGAGGAGATGGGCAAATACCGAATTTTTAGAACACAGAGCAAAATGACACAGTGGGATCCCCCAAAAGCATGGGCCACCTGCTTCCTGGTGCATTCTAGGTGGTGCTGGGTACTTGGGGTCACCTCTGAAGCCTGTCATCACTCCGAGTGGAGGGGACTTGGGATCGGGCATAGGGATGCTGAAGAAGGGGCATTCCAACCACAGTCCTAACACCCCGCTCTCTTTCCTGACCTGGGAGAACGTGACCAGCCACACTCACTTGTGAACTTAGTAACTTGAGTTTTGAGTCAGCGAGTGGAGTCTGAGGCAGCAGGCAGCTTCGAGAGGCTGGCAGTGAGCGCTCTCAGGGTGAGGAGGTGTCTGCACTTAGGGAGGCAGGGCAGCCCCTGTGGGGACCACTCCTGCAGCAGCCCCTCTGACCATGGTGGACTGGGATCTCGGAGGAGCCGGCACTGAGCCCCTGTGGAAATGCAGGTGTCTACGGAGACACTTCACCCCAGCCCTGCGCTCGCCAGAAGGAAGACTCCACAGGTGGCTTGCTCCCTGATCCTCCCCACGTGGGCTCCTGTGGACGGCTGGCTTCCCAATGAGAGGAGGTAGCAGCAACTCCTTTCCACTTACTCTGCTCTCAGAACTTCCTTCTTTAACACCTTCAAAGCCTTAGAACTACTATAGCTATTCACAAATACAGGTCATCCACACACCCTCACTTACAGCGTTTAACCCAAATCTCAATTCTACTGTGTCAGAAGGCTGCAGAAGGGGACCTGCCTTAGACGGAATGTGAACTAAACCCACCCTGAGCTCCTGCTGTTCAGAACATTTTGCTATGTTCTTTGCACAAGAGGAGAATATTTGCTACCTTCCTTGCTGCCACCCTGCTTTGGCGTCTCAGGCTTGACACATGCAGAGCTCTCTCTACACCTACCATCAGACTGGTATGTAATGATGTTCGTGTCCTGAACCATTACTCATTCCTTAATGCTCTGAAGAGAAGTAAGCTGACTTCGCTGTTGGACAGTAATGTCCTTCACGTACTCTAATGCGTCCTCTCCTGTGCTAACTTTCACGTCAGTAACCCACTCATTTGCCGTGGGCCAGTGATGTTGGTGGTGCTGGGGATTAAGTGAAGAGCGGATTCCATCACGGAGAGTATCCCACGGGCAGACAGAACACGCAGGGACCTCCTGGGGTGGACGTGGGCAGCAGAGACTGGAGTCACAGAGGACCAGGGACCCTGCCTGAAAGAGGGAGTTCTCAGGTCCTAGGAGGAGCCACTTTAACCAGTAAGGGCGATTGAAAGGACTCTAGTAATGGATCAGAAATTTCAGTTACTCTTTGCGGTCTCTCCCTAACTACAAGGAGGGAGACTTCATCTGACCCACGGCTGTGAGCACAGCAGGACAGCCATTGTGGTGTCTGCTCAGCTTCCCACGTGCACACAGCAGGCTCGCTCTGTGGCTCTTCCACTGTGACAGGGACTTAGTAGCTCAGCTCCACAGAGTGTGAGCAACAGCAAAGAAGAACAAAACTCTATTCACTGCAAAATTAAAACTTATGGGGGGAGGGTTGCCCCGCTCGGCTGAAACAGCATATCGAGTACCTGAAGTCGTGCGGTAATCTGGCCGACCCCAGGCCGCGATGCCAGGTCCGGGCGCTTTTTCCCTGAGGTTTGGCTCTAGCATGAACATAGAGCACGGCGTGCTTTCTGCGAGCAGGCCTGGGGCAGGAGCACCCTGGCCATCACACACCCTGACCTCCTGGCCAGTGTCAGCCGGTAACCATCACAGCCTGGACAGAGCGCTGGGGCATTGAGCGTGGGCCTAACTCCTACCAAACTTACCCGGAACCCACGAGCCTGGCACTCCTGTACCCGGAGAACTGGCAAGTGAGTGACGGAAGGTTAGGGAGATGCTGAAATCAAACCTTCAGTTTTCAGTCAACATATAGACGGGGACAGATTTAGATATGTCCTAAAGGCACTGCCTCCTCTTTTTTCTGTTCAACCATGAAGTGACAAATTCCTTCACTACCACCTTCTAGAACTTCTCCATCCCACCCCCACCCCCTGTGCTCGGGAGGTGTGACTATGCCACGGGTAATTCACCAACTTCCCCAAACTGGCTCAGAAGCAAAATGGAGAATTCAGTGCCGGGGTAGGTACTTAGACTTTGGTTAGGCTCAGCTAAGTATTTTACACGCTAAAACTCAAAAAACAAACTAGATAAAATCCGCCATTGCAGAGGGCCTGCTGGAACTCACTAACAAGGACAGAGCACGGGTGGTCCCACAGCCCGGCCTGACGTGCACTCACTGTGAGGAAGGGGTGGACCTCGTTCCGCACCTCCCACCAAGCACAGCCTGTCTCCCTAGCTGGCACTGAGACTCCCCCTACCCGGCTTTGAAACTCGCTCTCACTGTATTTTGGTTAGAATAGGAAAAAAACTTAACACTCTCTAAAATTGGTTCATGAGGACCTAAAATCTGCCGAATAACTCGTCTACCCTAGCTCTGAAATCAGGAGCCAGATGGATGGAAGGCTGAGTTGTCTTCCAAGCAAGGACGCTGAGTGACGGGAAGGCCAAAGCCAGAGCCAGGGGCTGAAGGGCGGGCTGGAGGAGACGCCCCCTGCCTCAGCGCAGGCTTCCCTGGGGCCGGCGGCGAGTGCCCAGCAGCGAGTGCCCGGCAGAGCTCGGGAGCAGAGCAGGCGGCCACACGAGTCCCTGCCCCTCTGCAGCTCTGCTGTCTGACGTCCACTTGGGAGGATACGGCAGGAGGCCACTGCTCCACTGTCACCTGTGTAGCTCAGTCAGCACTCGGACCCAGGAGCAGCACTCTGGGGTCTCCAGGGCAGCCCTGCTAAGGCCTGTTCTAGAAGGTTCTGTCTGTATGCTACCACTCTACCGTGTGGACGTTCTCGGGTAAGCGGTCCTGTGTGAACCAGGCCTCCTGTTCACCTCTCTCTGGTGGAGAGGGTGCGCTGAAAGTCAGTTCTCTGGGTGGCCTCGGTCCCTTCCCCTTTCCTGCAGGTACCACGGGGGATTTCTTCCCGCTCCTTCTACAGTGTGGCTCCATGAAGCCATATTTAATTGAGAGAATCTGATCCCCAGATAGATAGTATTCTTCCATCCCATGGACCACTCTGTCTCGATGGTGCAATGACTCAGGCCGCTGCTCTCCAGTGAGGACCTTCTGAGGGACTGACTCAGGGCGCCTCCGATGCTAATGGAGGACAGAGAGTGTTGCCAGAGGATCTAACCTCACACCAAGGTCATGTGGGCACTTCACAGGCTGGGAGGGCAGGTCAGAGCCACCTACGAGGACAGTCAGCCCTTCGTCCCACACATTCTGCATCTGCAGCTCAAACACGGATAGAAAATACATCCAAAAAAGAGTTTGATTGTCATCATTCTCCAAGTGACAGAGCGTGACAACCATCTCCTCAGGGTTGCACATGACCAGGTACAATAAGCCACCTAGAGATGGCTCACGTGCACAGCGACGTGTGCACAGGTCTGCCCTGTGCCTTACCTCACGGACTCGAGCATTTGTGAATCTTGGGGTTGTGG